TCATCACTGTTAGGTCCCTTCAGAGACTTTCTCCCCACCTGCTTCGCAGTTTCTGTCTGTCATTTGGATTTGACTCATTTACTTCATTGGGGAACCTTCTTACAGCCAAACAGCAACATGGTGTAAAAGGAGGAAAATATTGGAGGAACTTTAAAGCTTGAACCTGGATCTTCTCATTAACATTTTAGCATTAAATATAATTTAATGCATGAACTTTCAATAATACTTGAATTTTCATCTTACATTTTATGCATGCACTGTATTTATATTTTTTTAATAGTGTAAAAAAGTAAGTACACTCCATGGAATTTTTGGACTTGTTTAACATATTTTAAAAGGGGAACAAAACAGCACCTACAGATAAGGGGGACATATATGAATAATAATGAACACAGAAAACCTCCTGCATGGCCACTATACCCCAAAAGGAATAAATCTATACCCCAAAACCAGGAATGGCTGCTAGCACCCGACTATATAACCAAATAGTGAAAAAACAGCGAGACAAAGGTGGGTGCTGCGCTAAATCCTTAGATAAAGTAGTCAAACCACATACCACTAATCAGCAAAGAAAAATGAGAATGAAAACAAATGAAAGAGGATGTGTCCACAGATCTGTGGTCATAAATGAATCAACATATATAGAATACAAATAAAAGCACCCAACTAGAAAATAGTGGACATATAAAAGGAAAAAAGTGCTGCACTACTCCTGTAAAAATGGTAAGCAAATCCAAAACATATGAGAAAATATACAAGTGAATGTGGAAAACATAAATATGAGAGTGAGACCTTAACAGCAAAAACATGATCATAAATGAAATATGACCATCCAATGCCATATGAAACAAACAAGAAAAAAATGTGATGGGTAACTTCATGAGTGTATCAAGAAAAAAATAAAAAAAATATAAATGCGTGTGAAAATGACATATACAAACGCATGAACAAACGTGACTGATGGTGCCAAAAAGTGTGAACTAACAAAATGGTGTAAAGTCCAAAATTACTTCATGTAAAATCCAATGGGTATAACTTCATGTAAGACTTGATTGGTGACAGGTACGGGATTAGAGATGAGCGAAGTATTCAAAAAATTTGATTCGGCTGATTCGGCGAATTCGCGGAATAAATTTGATTCGAGTCGAATATATTCGCTGCGAATTCAACTTATAAAAAGGGTGTTTCTAGGCTTCAGAGAGCCTTTATATTAGTGCAGAACACTGTACCTTTAATTTAAATGCCCTTGGAGTCTGCTGGGGAAGAGAAATAATACTGTCAGTCAGTATGACATGCAGATGAGTGCCGTCGATCTTAGAATCACCGCACAACTTCACTCATTTGGGCAGTCACGGGGCCAAAACCAGAGTGTGGAGCCACAGTGTGGCGGTGGAGGCAGCAGCAATGGGAGGCCATACAGCACCCTATGACAAAATACAACCCACCAGCAGTGTGAGGAGAACCTGAAAGTGGCACATGGCAGAGTGTGGCGATGGAGACAGCAGCAATGGGAGGCCGTACAGGGACCCATGAGACACTCTGGACCTGGCAGCAGCATGAGGAGGCGGTACAGGGGCCCATGACAGATTACGGGCCTGGCAGCAGCATGAGGAGGCGGTACGGGGGCCATGGCAGATTACGGGCCTGGCAGCAGCAGGCATGGGAGGCCCGTAATCTGCCAGCACCCTATGACAAAATGGAACCCACCAGCAGTGTGAGGAGACCTGAAAGTGGCACATGGCAGAGTGTGGCGATGGAGACAGCAGCAATGGGAGGCCGTACAGGGACCCATGAGACACTCTGGACCTGGCAGCAGCATGAGGAGGCGGTACGGGGGCCCATGGCAGATTACGGGCCTGGCAGCAGCAATGGAAGGCCCGTAATCTGCCAGCACCCTATGACAAAATGGAACCCACCAGCAGTGTGAAGAGACCTGAAAGTGGCACATGGCAGAGTGTGGCGATGGAGACAGCAGCAATGGGAGGCCGTACAGGGACCCATGAGAGACTCTGGACCTGGCAGCAGCATGAGGAAGGCGGTACAGGGGCCATGACAGATTACGGGCCTGGCCGCAGCATGAGGAGTCAGTACGGGGGGCCCATGGCAATTACGGGCCTGGCAGCAGCAATGGGAGGCCCGTAATCTGCCAGCACCCTATGACAAAATGGAACCACCAGCAGTGTGAGGAGACCTGAAAGTGGCACATGCAGAGTGTGGCGATGGAGACAGCAGCAATGGAGGCCGTACAGGGACCCATGGAGACACTCTGGACCTGGCAGCAGCATGAGGAGCGGTACGGGGGCCCATGGCAGATTACGGGCCTGGCAGCAGCAATGGGAGGCCCGTAATCTGCCAGCACCCTATGACAAAATGGACACCCCACCAGCAGTGTGAGGAGACCTGAAAGTGGCACATGCAGAGTGTGGCGATGGAGACAGCAGCAATGGGAGGCCGTACAGGGACCCATGAGACACTCTGGACCTGGCAGCAGCATGAGGAGGCAGAGTACGGGGGCCCATGGCAGATTACGGGCCTGGCAGCAGCAATGGGAGGCCCGTAATCTGCCAGCACCCTATGACAAAATGGAACCCACCAGCAGTGTGAGGAGACCTGAAAGTGGCACATGGCAGAGTGTGGCGATGGAGACAGCAGCAATGGGAGGGGCCGTACAGGGACCCATGAGACACTCTGGACCTGGCAGCAGCATGAGGAGTCGGTACGGGGGCCCATGGCAGATTACGGGCCTGGCAGCAGCAATGGGAGGCCCGTAATCTGCCAGCACCCTATGACAAAATGGAACCCACCAGCAGTGTGAGGAGACCTGAAAGTGGCACATGGCAGAGTGTGGCGATGAGACAGCAGCAATGGAGGCCGTACAGGGACCCATGACAGATTACGGCCTGGCAGCAGCATGAGGAGGCGGTTCAGGGGCCCATGACAGATTACGGGCCTGGCAGCAGCAATGGGAGGCCCGTAATCTGCCAGCACCCTATGACAAAATGGAACCCACCAGCAGTGTGAGGAGACCTGAAAGTGGCACATGGCAGAGTGTGGCGATGGAGACAGCAGCAATGGGAGGCCGTACAGGGACCCATGACAGATTACGGGCCTGGCAGCATGAGGAGGCGGTACAGGGGCCCATGACAGATTATGGGCCTGGCAGCAGCAATGGGAGGCCCGTAATCTGCCAGCACCTATGACAAAATGGACCCCACCAGCAGTGTGAAGAGACCTGAAAGTGGCACATGGCAGAGTGTGGCGATGGAGACAGCAGCAATGGGAGGCCGTACAGGGACCCATGACAGATTACGGGCCTGGCAGCAGCATGAGCAGGTGGTACAGGGGCCCATGACAGATTACGGGCCTGGCAGCAGCAATGGGAGGCCTGTAATCTGCCAGCACCCTATGACAAAATGGAACCCACCAGCAGTGTGAGGAGACCTGAAAGTGGCACATGGCAGAGTGTGGCGATGGAGACAGCAGCAATTGGGAGGCCGTACAGGGACCCACGACACACTCTGGACCTGGCAGCAGCATGAGGAGGCGGTACAGGGGGCCCATGGCAGATTACGGGCCTGGCAGCAGCAATGGGAGGCCCGTAATCTGCCAGCACCCTATGACAAAATGGAACCCACCAGCAGTGTGAGGAGACCTGAAAGTGGCACATGGCAGAGTGTGGCGACGATGGAGACATGGGCCCCTGGCCACGCTTGACTTTTCTGGCCACATAGTCGACATACGGCTACGTTCTATTAACTTCCTCGGGCGGCTTGACGAAAAATTGCCACACCCGCCGAGTAGGAAACTTTGCCCCCGCTACTCCTCACTGGCTGACTGCTACTTCCTCCGTGCACACCGGCACCACTACTGGCCGTGGTGGTAGGCTGCAGTGGAGCTGGTGCTCTACTCCGTGGCCGTTTGCCTCCACTGACACTGCTGCGACCCTGCTGCCTCCTGGGCAACCCACCGACTGTTTTGCTCCGCTGCCTGAAAGCTGGCACCCTCTTCTCCTGATGAGGCGGAAGCAATAGCCTGATGATGACGAGGCTGCCAAGTGCGATCAGCCTCATCATCATCAATTAGGGTCTCCGCCTCACTACAACCTAGCCCCCTCGGGCTGCGTGTGGGTCAGGAGACAAAGACCTGTCTCTAGACCGGCTACCGAGCCACTCTCCTCGCCGAGTACTTCTTCGCCTGGCTGCTGAAGAGGCGGATGTCTCCCCCCGTTCCTGACCGCCCTCTGTTAGCTCTTCCTCACTGTAAGTGGGGCTGAGCCCAGAGCATGCGATACTTTCGCTTGGTGAGGGAACACCAAAGGACAGGGGCAGGTAGAGGACACGTGATTTCAGTGGGCTTGCTCCCGGGCCATGCCAACTAACGGTTGTGTCTGACGTACCCACCGACCATTGGCTGTAGGTGTCAGAGGTGACCTGGGAAGAGGAAGGACGACCGAGCCAACCAATCGATGACGGCAGGGTTGTCGGTGGAGACACGACCGCTGGATGACACCGGGAGCACTGGCCTCTGGCTGCGACTAGTGCTGCCTCGACCCCTTCCTCTGCTGCCACGTCTGCTCGCTCCTGAAACATTTGCCTCTCTGCCACTCCTCTGCGTGTTGTCTGACATACTCTTTAATTCACGATTCTGTGTCCCTGAAGTAACGATTCTGTGTCCCTGAGTAACGATTCTGTGTCCCTGAGTAACGATTCTGTGTCCCTCAGTAACGATTCTGTGTCCCTGAGTAACAATTCTGTGTCTGTGTCCTGAGTAACAATTCTGTGTCTGTCCCTGAGTAAACAATTCTGTGTCCCTGAGTAACAATTCTGTGTCCCTGAGTAACAATTCTGTGTCCCTGAGTAACAATTCTGTGTCTGTCCCTGAGTAAACAATTCTGTGTCCCCTCAGTAACAACAATTCTGTGTCTGTCCCTGAGTAACAATTCTGTGTCCCTCAGTAAGCAATTCTGTGTCTGTCCCTGAGTAACAATTCTGTGTCCCTGAGTAACAATTCTGTGTCCCTCAGTAACAATTCTGTGTCCCTCAGTAACAATTCTGTGTCCCTCAGTAACAATTCTGTGTCTGTCCCTGAGTAACAATTCTGTGTCCCTCAGTAACAATTCTGTGTCCCTCAGTAACAATTCTGTGTCCCTCAGTAACAATTCTGTGTCTGTCCCTGAGTAACAATTCTGTGTCCCTGAGTAACAATTCTGTGTCCCTGAGTAACAATTCTGTGTCCCTCAGTAACAATTCTGTGTCCCTCAGTAACAATTCTGTGTCTGTCCCTGAGTAACAATTCTGTGTCCCCCTGAGTAACAATTCTGTGTCCCTCAGTAACAATTTCTGTGTCCCTCAGTAACAATTCTGTGTCCCTCAGTAACAATTCTGTGTCTGTCCCTGAGTAACAATTCTGTGTCCCTCAGTAACAATTCTGTGTCCCTCAGTAACAATTCTGTGTCCCTCAGTAACAATTCTGTGTCCCTCAGTAACAATTCTGTGTCCCTCAGTAACAATTCTGTGTCCCTCAGTAACAATTCTGTGTCCCTCAGTAACAATTCTGTGTCTGTCCCAGAGTAACAATTCTGTGTCCCTCAGTAACAATTCTGTGTCCCTCAGTAACGATTCTGTGGCCCTAAGTAACGATTCTGTGGCCCTAAGTAACGATTCTGTGGCCCTAAAGTCTCTCTGGCCCTAACTCTGTCCCTAATACAGACAGGTCTGTCTCTCTTGAATGACCGGAGGCTAATGGAGAATTGTAAGATGGCCGCAATTTATAGCTCCACCATTACACAGTGCTGGCTGGCTGGCTGCTGATTGGCTAATGCGATCACATGTCATGAATGAATGCATTATGGGTCAGCGTGCCTTGTCTGCGCGCCTTCCCAGAGATCCCCGCTCCGTCGCCACACATGTCGCCGCCATTTTTGGGAAAATTCGATTCGTGCATCCGAAGTTGGCTAATTTTCGGATTCGGCGCGAATCGAATATTTCCCAATATTCGAAACGAATTCCACTTCGCCATGTTCGATTCTAACGGTGATCCATCTAATAAATGTATCCACCACAGGCTAGAACGGCTGCACACCTCCACGTTGCAACCCCTAGGGGCCAACACACATCAGAAAGGTGCTCAGCAAAAAGGTCTAGATCTCATTTGGGCCTTAGGCAGTAATCCTGGAACCATTAACAACAGTGGTGGTATCCCCCTCCTAGCAATGATGAACTGGATAGCCTCTCAAGTGATCCCCATAAAGAGGTAAGAGAAAAGGACTTCCATAGTGTAGTAAATAGAACCTTTATTAAAGGCAACAAACGCCAAATACGCACTTACAAAGAATAAACAGGGTCTGCAGACCCACAGGCTTCAAAATCAGCAGAGAACACACAGGGTGTACTTGCATGAGTGTAGAAAGATGACAGCTGCCGTCCATGCCGGAAATGACATTACCACGTCTCCATCCCTGGACTCTAACAAGTGTACAGTACAAAAACCATCAGAAAGAGATATAACAACTACTCCTTCAGTAAACTATATCTTTCAGAAGTTATAAAATCAAGCCACAGGGCCCAACATCTATAAAACTTGCCATAAGTGTATGTGTATTGATGTCTCCACTCCTCCGCCTCCATAATGTCCTGAACTTTCTGCAGCCACTCCTTGACTGAAGGCAACATAGGAGATTTCCAATGTAAGGGTATAAGACATTTAGCGCGGCATTGAGGAGGTGCGGCATCAAGGAGTGTTTATACCTCCCAACCGATTGTGCAGTGTCATGAAAAAGGATAGGTAAAGGATCATCTGCCATCTGGAATTGTGTGATCTCATGATAATCGTTCGAATGTCAGACCAAGAGGGGCGTAAAACTGAACAAGTCCACCACAAATAAAGGAAAGTACCTCGCTGCCCACATCCTCTCAAGCAATTACCCGACACACAGGAAAATGTGGGATAACCTATCGGGCACCCTATACCATCTGGATAGGAATTTATAACATGTTTCCTGTGTTTTAGCATTAACTGATTAAGTGTGGGCCATGGATATTATTTTATCTACACTACAGTCCATCTGGTCTCTGCCCAGCTCCCTCTCCCCTTCTCGTACATAGTACGGAATCGTGTTGGTCAATTTTCCCAGCAGTAATTTATAGAACTTAGAGAGGAGATGAGTTGCACTCGCCCTATCCAAGCACATAGACTCAGAATTTAGACAGGGAGTCTGAGGATCACACAGTCCTTTGTGTAGTAGCAAAAAATTTGTGAAGCTGCCTGTGTTTCCAGCTATCCCAGGGCATAGTATCCCATTCCTTGCAAAAACCCGTTAGAGATCGTAAATGTGTGCCAGACATATACCGAAAACTACAAGTTTCATAAGAACCACCCCAGTGGGTAAAGGCGGCTAAATCCTAACCTGAGACAAACCACAGAAAACCTCCCAGAGATGAAAGGGGTGGAGGGTATTGTGCCAAGGAGAATTGCGTATTTTAACCATCACAGATGGCCAAAGTCGCAGAAGAGAGAGGTGATAACACAGCCAATAATCTATAACAAGAAAAGAACATTCTGTCTAGCCCAAATGAAAAATAAAAAAAAAAGATTTTGGGCGTAAAGTATAGGGACCCAGACCATATGCCGAGAATTGCTTGATAAAGGATATCAACCTTAGAAGGGGGTACTGGAACCAATTGAGCACAAACCAAACTAGCAAAAACCAAAAGGTAAATTTCAAGTGTTCCCTTCGGGATTGGGTGAGCTCGAAGGATTACGGATCCACTTTCTCTTCCGACGTGGTTTCTGCCATTCCCTTTGTGATTGATTAGACAAAGAGATCCCTCTGCCCCTCCAATCTGGGAAATCGACTGCAGACAGGTGAAGAGTTCGGAGAAATTGTGGTAAGTCATCTTTGCCACGAAGAGTGGCCGAGATCCCATCTTTAGTAGCTGTAAGCTGGAACGGAAAACCCCAGAGGTATGTTGCACCTGTGTTACAGAGAGAGTCCAAAAGTGGACATAAGGTTTTCCTTGGCTCCAGAGTACGGCGGGATAAATCAGGGAAAAAAGTACAGCTGTGAACCCTCAAATTCCAGACAAGTGCGCTTACGCATACCCCGCATGATAGCTTCTTTATCCTGGTAGAACAGCAGTTTACAAATCACATCTCTAGGCTTGGTGGAGTCTGGGTTTACAGGACCCAAGGCTCTGTGTGCCCTATTTCAATTGGTAAATCAGGGTTTTCCCAAAATTTTTGTAAAGTCAGATAGCAAAGTTGGAATCAGGGTAACAGTTTTAATGGATCCAGGCAACCCATGGATTTGGAGGTTTTTCCTGCGGCTCCTGTTTTTATAATCATCCAGTTGGGAAAGCAAACCCTCAATCTTGCGATCTTGTTGATATAATCCCTTCTGCAGGGAGAGGATTGTGTTTGTGGACTCACTCTGTTGTGTTTCAAGGACTTCAACCCTTGAACATATCTGCATAGTGTCAGCTTTGAGTTCTTGGAGGCCCGCTTTGTAAGTATCTTCAATCTGAAGAAAACTGCGAGCTCAGCCTTAGTGGGGAGTTCACTAAGATATTGTTTCAGGTCCCAGCAGGGATCCTGGGGATGCAGGGATTGTTGCCCCGGGCTTTCCCATGTCCCTGTGTGGGCAGGGGAGGATAGTGAGGAAGATTGAGACTCACCCTGCAGTGTGGCCTCCATGTCCAGATCCTCTCCAGGGATTGCCAGCTGATCTGCAGACAGGGGTGAAGGGGAAGGTTCCTCCAAAATGGTGCCGGCTGAATCTCCCGCCTGCGGCCCCCTGAGGTAGGCAACAATGCTGCCCTTTCAAGGTTTTGTGGATAAGTCTGAGGAATGCTCTGGGTCCCCCTTCTTCCACGGCATCACCGCTGGTAAGATCGGGCTGCTGAGTTGGCTGTGTGCTGAGCTTATAGCGGTGGGCAGTGGGAAATCTGGAATCAGCAGCCGTCCTGCTCCATGGCCTGGCCATCCCCCCTGTGTTCAGAGTCTTTCCATGCTTGTCATTTCTTTGTATGAGAGCCAATCTCAGCCCCACCTCTCCCCTATCCTGTTGCCTCTATTCCCTGTGGCTGTAAAGTAGCATTTACAGATAACTGGCATCCCCTCTGTGATATGAAGATATAAAAAACGGTGTCCATTTTTTAAAAATTATAAGCCTAAATACCTTCTTGCACGGCACCGCTATGTAGTTACGTTACCTCCCTCTGCTAGCCAGCTGACGTCATAGGGGAATCTCAACTCCTGCTGCTCTCCCTAGATTGGGGAAGGAGCGTGGAGGGAGGTCGTGTGACCACACAGCGGAGCTGTGCAAAATGGTATTGTGACGGGAGTCACTTTGGGTGGGGGTCCATGGAACACAGCTCACATTGGAGAGGTGGGGAAACCCCTGTCTCAGCTCCCCATATCCCTCTTATGTGTAAGTCACCCTGTGCCTGTTAGGGATGCAGGGCAAAATGTCCTGATATTGTGTAGACATGTATAGGTGGGGGTTGTTCATTGTTTAATGCTACGTGGTTGTATCCCATTGTTCTATTGTGTGTCTTGCTTGGGAGGAAACTATTATGGGATGTATGTGTTTGTGTATTGGCTTGGTGAGGGGGTGTTTCCAGCAGCCCTTCCCCCTGATGGGACTGCCTGCTGATGTGTTTCTTGTTACTGGGTGTGTATTGCTCCACTCTGTGTATATCTTGTATCTGTCTTTAAATAAAGCAGTCTATTTCCTGATTTATTTCAAGAGTGCTGTCCGTGGTCTGTGTTCGACAGGGAAGCAGTAGTATAACGGAAATACCCAAGCGTAGTCGGGGTCTGGTTCCGTTAAAGGTATTTAGGATTATAATTTTTTAAAAACGGACACACAGTACTTTATATCTTCTTACCAAAGAGGGGATGCCATTTATTTGTATATCTCACTTTACAACCACTTTAAGAACAGTAAACTACCCCCATCTGTCGATATGTGGGATTACAACTTAATTATGATAATACTATGATTCATTTTTGCCACATTGGATAGGATTTATGAAGATCCTAGGGTAGGAGTCTTTAGTAAAAGAATCTTGTCAAGAGAAGCAAGATGGATTTATGAGCTTAAAGCCACCTTCCACCAGGGGTTAATAATATATATGATATACATTGCTCAAAAAAATTATAGGAACACTTTAAAAACACATTAGATTTCAACGAGGAAAAATATCATGCTGGATATCTTTACTGATTTGGACTTGGTAATGTGTTAGGAACATATGGATGCTACATCGTTTGATGGAAATGAAACATTTCAACCTACAGAGGAATGAATTCAAAAACACACTGAAAATCAAGTAAAACAATGATGGAGTAGGCTACTCCATTTTACTGAAATGTCATTGCAGAAACTCAGAATGGTACTTAGTAGATTGTATGGCCCCCACATGCTTGTATGCATTCCTGACAATGTTGGGGCATGCTCCTAATGAGATGACGGATGGTGTCCTGGGGTATTTCCTCCCAGATCTGGACCAGGGCATCACTGAGCTCCTGGACAGTCTGAGGTGCAACCTGCCGGCATCGGATGCACCGAAACATGATATCCCAGAGGTATTCTATTGGCTTTAGGTCAGGCGAGTGTGGTGACCATTCAATGGTATCAATTCCTTCATCCACCAGGAACTGCCTGCAAACTCTCGCCATATGAGGCTGGGCATTGTCATGCACCAGGAGGAACCCAGGACCCACTGCACCAGCATAGGGTCTGACAATGGGTCCAAGGATTTCATCCCGATACCTAATTGCAGTCAGGGTGCTATTGTCTAGCCTGTAGAGGTCTGTGTGTCCCTCCATGGATATTCCTCCCCAGACCATCACTGACCCACCACCAAAACAATCATGAAGTCTGTTTGTGATTGTTTGGTCAAAAGACATTCACACCAGTGGCCTGCTTGAGGTCATTTTGTAGGGCTCTGGTAGTGCTGATCCTGTTCCTCCTTGCACAAAAGAGCAGATACTGGTCCTGCTGATGGGTAACTGACCTTCTATGGCCCTGTACAGCTCTCCTAGAGTAACTGCATGTCTCCTGGAATCTCCTCCATGCTCTTGAGACTGTGCTGTGTGACACAACAAACCTTCTGGCAATGGCATGTATTGATGTGCCATCCTGGAGCAGCTGGACTGCCTGTGCAACCTCTGTAGGGTTCAGGTATCTCCTCATGCTACCAGTAGTGACACTGAACCTAGCCAAATGCAAAACTAGTGAAAAACAGAAAAGATGAGTAGGGGAAAAAATGTCAGTGGCCTCCACCTGTAAAACCATTCCTGTTTTGGGGGTCATTTCATTGTTGGCCAGCTCGGTCGCGTGATCAGCTGTGTCCAATCACAGCTAATCACATGTAAATAGGGGAATGCAGGTTATCGGCATTTCTCTCCTCACAAGCTGTCACGCTGACAGCTCGAGAGGAGAGGAGAGCCGGTAATCGGCATTCCTCGGAGGGGACATGTGCACTGATCATCAGGGCACTGATGATCAGTGTGCCTTGATGATCAGTGTGGCCCCAGAGGTGCCACCTGTCAGTGCTCATCAATGCCACCTGTCAGTGCCCATCAATGCCACCTGCCAGTGCCCATCAGTGCCACATATCACTGCCTACCAGTGCACATCACATATCAATGCACAATGCCACATATCAGTGCCCATCTGAGCTGCCTTTCAGTGTCACCTATCAGTGCCAGTCAGTGTCACCTATCAATGCCAGTCAGTACCACCTATCAGTGCCAGTCAGTGCCGCCTATCAGTGCCAGTCAGTGCCACCTATGAATGCCCAGTTTTGCCTAACAGTGCCAGTCAGTGCCACCTAACAGTGCCAGTCAGTGTCGCCTATCAGTGCCAATCAGTGCCATATGAGTGCTGCCTCTCAGTGCCCATCAGTGATGCCTGTTAATGCCCATCAGTGCCACCTACTAGTGCCTCCATCAGTGCCCATCAATGCCACCTATCGGTGCCTATCAGTGCAGCCTATCAGTGCCCATCAGTGCAGCCTCATTGCGCACATCAGTGAAGGAGAAAAATCACTTATTTACAAAATTTTATAACAAAAACTAAGAAAAAAATGTTTTGTTTTGTTTTTTTATTTTTCAGTTGTTTTTGGTTTGTTTAGCAAAAAATAAAAAAAACCCAGAGGTGATAAAATATCACCAAAAGAAAGCTCTATTTGTCTCAAAAAAAAATGATAAATGTTTTTTTATTTATATTTCATGCTGAAGTTCAGACATTGTGCATGAATGCATCTGTGTCATGTTGAGAGTTCCACATCAATCCTGTTTTCCAATTTTGGGATCCGTATCTTTGTAAGTTATTATGAGGTGTATATACTGGTTGGCAAATGTATATGTATAAGGTAGTTGCTGTATGTATGGATAATTATAGTTACCCCTTTTGATATTAGGTATGGTTGCCATTGTCCATCTTTTACTTGTCGTACTGATGATTCCTTTTGGCCTCTGTGCCCACCTGTGAGACTGCTTCAGTTTTGTTGTGCTGTCGCTCCATGTGAGATAACCTCTAAAAGAATTGCTGTATATTTTACGGTCTATAGCAGCAATGGGCAAACTACGGCCCGTGGGCCGTATACGGCCCGGCGGACCTTTTAATCCGGCCCGCGGAGCTAGGCTCCCGCTAGGCTCCTCTCACAGTCCGCCCTGAAGACCGGTGTAGCATGAAAATCTGTCTCCTATGAGGATCTGTCCCCCTCGACGTATCTGCGCATGTGCCGGAGATCGCCGATCGGCTGCTAATGCCTGAAACTGGCACATGCGCAGATACGTCGAGGGGGACAGATCCTCATAGGAGACAGATTTTCATGCTACACCAGAACGGCGCGGGAACACGGCGAGAGGAACGCGCGGAGCAAAGGTAAGTGAATTGACACAGGGGGGACTTGGGGACTTAATATGGGGGATGAATTACTATGGGGGATGAATTACTATAGGAATTACTATATGGGGGATGAATTACTATATGGGGGATGAATTACTATGGGGGATGAATTACTATAGGGGGGATGAATTACTATAGGGGGGATGAATTACTATAGGGGGGATGAATTACTATATGGGGGATGAATTACTATATGGGGGATGAATTACTATGGGGGATGAATTACTATATGGGGGATGAATTACTATATGGGGGATGAATTACTATGGGGGATGAATTACTATATGGGGGATGAATTACTATATGGGGGATGAATTACTATGGGGGATGAATGACTATATGGGGGATGAATTACTATATGGGGGATTAATTACTATGCTTACTATGGGGGAATATTACTATACTTACTATGGATGACACATACACATCATTCATCTACTCTTGGTCCGGCCCCCGGGTCCAATATAAGAACCCATTGCGGCCCTCAAGTCAAAAAGTTTGCCCACCCCTGGTCTATAGTCTTAGTATATACCTGAAAAGTTCGGTATTGTAGAGAAATGGGTTTTCATTTTTCCTTTAAGACTGAGATTTTAGGGTAAATGGAAACTTATTTTTAGTATCAAATGGTTACTGCTTGGGCTGAACTTGCTGGGCCTGCCATCCCTGTACAAAAAATAACAGTCATTTTAAATCTACACCATGTAGATTACTTTTCCTAGAGTGGAATGATTTAATTTGAAAAAAAAAAATGGCAATCTTGGGGTGTGTGGCTTGCAAGCACTCTGAATGGCTGCCTAAGCTGAGAGCTCTCTGCACCAGAGGGAGATCTGACGCAAATGCAAGGAGTCTCTGACTATCTACAGACACTCAGCTGCCTTCCGACACCCCAAGAATACTCCTGAAGCCATGTTCAGGAAGAGAAAAGAGGAGTGCTGCCTGCAGAAGCTCATGGCCTTCTTTCTGCAGCCAGTGGGGAGAGGAAGCTAAAAAGGAGCAGCCACCTCAGCTTCTCGATCTTTTGCCTCATACACTAACCTGCCCGATGCTGCATTCGGAGACACAGACAGCCAGCAGTTCTCTTCTTCCCTCTCCACAGCCAGCCCTGTTTCAGGCAGCCCAGCCAAAGCCAGAATGCGAATGGATACACAGCAGCAGGACCCTTCAGATGTGATTCAGGGTTGCGGCCCTGCAGTTCTCCATACCTTCCTTACTCATCTGTGATAAAATGACACTACCATAAAGGAAATGCTTCTTTCACTGCATGCAGATTTTGCTTCTCTCATTCACGTTTACCTCTGAAATACAATCAATGAGAGAAAGGGTACTCTACATTGAGAAAAAAATGTAGGCGCGCACCACAACTATCAGTACTCTGGCAGGTGTATGTGAGGAGGAGATGACCACCTATGGATCAAGGCTAAGTTGTCGGACCTTGAAAATAGGTCCCATCACAACAATATCAAACTGCGTGGAGTACCAGTAACCGTGCATGGGAACTATCTCCAAAATGTACACCCATTTCTGTTTTGCTGCCTGATGTGTCTCCTGTGGAATTAACCATTGATCACATACACACCGTTCCTAGACCACCAAAACTGGTGTACACTGCACCCAGAGATGTCTTTGTGCTGATTTATTTTTTTTCCTGTAAAAGAGCAGCTATTCACTAAAGCCAGGTGCTTGGGCTCTCTCCCAACACCATATGCTGACATACAAGTTTTTGCTGATTTGTCGCAATATACTGTACACTCCAATTGCGATGGCAACTCAACTCTGTTACAAAGGCACTACGATTCACAAAATATCTGACAAACAGCACTATCCCATTACCCTGCTGATCATATGCAATGGTGCTTAACATGTAGTTACTACTCTAGACAGCAGAACAAAGCTCCTGCATTTAAGGGGTATTATACCTGACCCTCCATAGGGAACAAGCACACCTTTTGCTCCAACCAAGCTGACAACCTCATGGCAGCCAGTCTCCAGAAAACACAAGCCAAGACCCAGATGACTCCCAACCTTCTCAAATTTCAAGGCAATAGTTACTTCTGCTATCTCGCACCATGTCAACTTTAGCTCTGTGAACTAATTTCCACCCATGTGAACTTCTTGCAGCTCTACACTGACCAACTTGCTGAAATTTACACACCTTGTTCATTCCAGGTATTCTCGTATGGAAATCAGGTGTTACTATGTTAATGTTTTTCTTTTTGTTCCTAGTTTTTTTGATTATCTGCCAGATTGCCTCCATCCATCCTAAGTACAGGACAGATTTATTTACTTGACCAGTCAAAGTCAACCAGTGGCTATCATCTTCCTGGTCCAATCTCAACATAATTGCCTTCAGACACCGCTTTCTCACCCTCAGTATGTATCAATATGGCTGTTACTAATTTATCTTTCTGTAGCACCACCCCCGAAGGAGCCACTTGGTAATTTTTGGGTCCTCTGTTCTATGCTTCAACTCCAAGAACAATCTCAGCCCCTCTGACACACCTGGTTTTAGTTATATCCAGAAATAAACACACACCTGTCTAGTGATAATCAAGTTGTTGTTATTCTGCAAATAATAATTTAATTTTTAGTTTTTTAAGATACTTATCATGGTCTGTTCTTAATAAAGCCCTCAATTAGTTTCTACAATTACCAAGTTGTTGCAGAATACCTAAATTTTTATGTTTTTCCTCTAGTGGAAATATCTTTTAATAATTTATTTAAGGCGTTAGTTTTCTTTTTTTTTTTTTTCCTTAGAGGCAATTTGGATAAGAATACACCTAATAAAAGAATTATGAGTACATTATTATTATTATACAGGATTTATATACCGCCAACAGTTTGCTCAGCACTTTACAATATAACGGGAGACAATACAGCAACAATACAGTTCAATACAAGAGGGTTAGGAGGGCCCTGCTCTTTGGAGCTTACAATTTAGGGAGGGGCTAGTGGTACAAAAGGTAGTAACTGTGGGGGATTGACTGGTAGGAGAAGTAGAAGATTCCATTATAAGCTGAGGACAGGATAGACGTCCCTGAAGAGATAGGTTTTCGGAGATCGCCTAAAAGTGAGCAGAGTAGGCGATAGTTTGATAAATTGGGGTAGAGAGTTCCAGAGGATGGGGGAAGCTCTGGAGAAGTCCTGGAGATAAGCATGGGAGGAGGAGACAAGGGAGCTAGAGAGCAGGAGGTCGTGTGAGCAGCGGAGAGGAGAGGATGGTTTGGGTGATATTTGGAGACAAGATTGGTGATGTAATTTGGGGCAGAGTTATAAATGGCTTTATATGTTATTGTTGATGTTTTGAGTTTTTATCCGTTGGGCCAGGGGTGGGCAAACTTTTTGACTTTAGGGCCGCAATGGGTTCATATATTGGACCCGGGGGCCGGACCAAGAGTAGATGAATGATGTGTATGTGTCATCCATAGTAAGTATAGTAATATTCCCCCATAGTAAGCATAGTAATTAATCCCCCATAGTAATTCATCCCCCATAGCAATTCATCCCCCATAGTAACTCATCCCCCATATAGTAATTCATCCCCCATAGTAATTCATCCCCCATAGTAATTCATCCCCCATATAGTAATTCATCCCCCATATAGTAATTCATCCCCCATATAGTAATTCATCCCCCATATAGTAATTCCTCCCCCATAGTAATTCATCCCCCATATAGTAATTCCTCCCCCATAGTAATTCATCCCCCATATAGTAATTCATCCCCCCTATAGTAATTCATCCCCCATATAGTAATTCATCCCCCATAGTAATTCATCCCCCATATAGTAATTAACCCCCCATAGTAATTCATCCCCATAGTAATTCATCCCCCATAGTAATTCATCCCCCATAGTAATTCATCCCCCATATAGTAATTCATCCCCCATATAGTAATTCATCCCCCATAGTAATTCATCCCCCATATAGTAATTTCATCATCCCCCATAGAGTAATTCATCCCCCATAGAGTAATTCATCCCCCATAGAGTAATTCATCCCTCATAGTAATTTCATCCCCCATATAATAATTCATTCCCCATATAGTAATTAATCCCCCATATAGTAATTCATCCCCCATAGTAATTCATCCCCCATATAGTAATTCATCCCCCATAGAGTAATTCATCCCCCATAGTAATTCATCCCCCATATAGTAA